CCGCAGTGCCATGTGTCAGTCAGTACTGTTACCTCGGGGTGGTGTTCCAAGCCTCCAGGAAGTGGCAAAAGCATGCCGCGCACCGTATTGACAAAAGCACTGGCAAGTTCCATCAGTGCCTGGGTTGGGCGGAGAACCGAGGTTTGTGCACCAGCTTCCGCGCGAGTCTCTTTCGCTCGTATGTGCTACCATCGCTTTTGTACGGCTCTCAATTCTTAGATGATGTTGCCCTCCGCATGCTGGACAAGAAAATGCGTCAATTTGGGCGCCGTCTGCTTTTGTGGCCTCGGGGCACACCCGGAGCGGCTGTTGTGGGCGAGTTGGGCTGGCGCCCTCTGTCAGTTGAAGTTCGCCGGTTGCAATTCAGCTTATTTGGCCGGCTATGTGCTGCTGGCGGCACGGATGACGCTCGTACTTTGGCTAGTCGGGTGTTCCACTTTGCTGTGCACTCGCCAGGGTCTTGGGCTCACGACGTGAAGCTGCAGCTACAATCCAGTGGCGGTCTTCTGCCGGCTGCTTGTGGGGTGGTGCCGGGTGCTCTAGCGGCGCAGCTGCAGTGGAATAGGTCGGTAGTCCGGCCGCTCGTACAGCATCAGGCATGGGCACAATACCACTCAGAAGCTGTGACCGTGTCTTCCTTGAGGCCTTCCCTGGCATATCATCCCTATCTTGAGTGTGACGTGCAAGTGCACGGTGGTAGGATTCCGACACACGTTACACGTGAATGGACTTTGGCCCGGTGTGGGCATCATCCATTCCCGGATGGGCGCAGTGCACGTCACCGTGCAGGGGACGCTTTCGTGCAGCATATGTGTTTGTGTGGCAATCCAAGCTGCAGTCTTCTGCATGGGTTGCGAGAGTGTCCTTTATTTGATGAGCAGCGTCAGATCTGGCAGAGTCGTATGCGAAGTTATGTGATCGATGTTGCCCAGCTCTCAAACGAGAATTTCTTGCGGTTGGTCTTTATGCCACAACATCCGCTTAATTCTCGATCTTCGATTGCAGCTCATGTGCATTTTGTAGCTTCTGTGTGTCACCTGCAGCGATGGCTTTCTGAAGATTCCTGAGCCTGATGCTGCCTTGACGCTTATCATCTTATCGCCGTAAGTGTGATGCGTCTTTCCTTTTCACTACTGACCGAAGACGGTTGTTTCAGGTCTGAGTCTCGTTCCCACGGCCATCCGTACAACTCGTGGAATATGCCAGATGCTGCTCCGGGTGGACCTAGGAAGAAGTCCGGGTGGATACGCAAGTTGATTGGCTCGGATGTTGAAGAAGCCTGTGCCAAGACACTGCCGCTGGCTTGGCTGGGACACAGGCTCGCATCAGATCGAAGGTTTTCACTCGTGAAACCTCATTCCAGCCAAGTTTCGCAGCACAACGCCTCGCGGTTGCTCGTTGCTCTATAAACAACGAAGTCGAGGCGGCGATGGTCGTCGGAGTGAACAGGCGGAGCTGCTGTGCGGGAAAGCCACTGCTGCGGCGCAACCCGGCCTTCTGGACCGACCGCCTCGCGAGCGACCTGAACCCACGCCCTTTCAACGACGAAACCCCGCCTGGGCAGCAGGCCTGTGCGTGGGCAGGCGAGGTGGTGGTCCCCGTATATGCATCGACCTCAGCCCCACAGCCGTGTCGGCCTCCCGCGCCACAGTGCAGGGCCGTGAAGGGCAAGGGCAACCGAAGGTGGCGCCTCATAGCGACGTGCATCAGGTCGGGTGCAAGGGTGGACGCTGCCTCCGAAGGAATTGCCGCAAGCCGCATGCCGGCTGCGGACCGGACTGAGGGTGGAGGAGGGCGCACGCGGCCGCCCAGGCCTCTGTATGCCTCTGTTGGGGCCGTTGTTGCTCGGCATTGCTTCAGTACGTCGTAGTTCCCGTTCTCTTGCGCTTTTGCGTGCTACTCCCTTGCCGGCTTGGCTCCTCCCCGGTCCCAGTTTTCGTCTCTGGTTCTGTTTCTGTCCGTTTCGGTTCCGCTGTGGTCTGCGCTCAGCTCCGGAAACTCCTTTCCATTCGGTTTTGTGCACCGGGCGCTGCAATGTACGGCGCGTCAGCAAAGGGACTCGTACGCGCGCGTGTCGCAGGCATGGGCGGCGAGTCGCTGCCAGCCCTGGAACGGCCAACGGTGCGGGGAACTGCGGGGTTGTCGGCACGGGGTGCTGGGCTCGCAAACCACTCCGGCGCGTCGCAAAGGTGCTGCCGCGCGAGGATCCCAGCAGTGGCACAAGGCAGGACGCCCTCGCAGCGCAGCGCTCGGAGGAGGCACTTTGCAGCGGCGCGTGCGCGGGCCTGGATGACGGGGAGCAAGACGCCCAGTGAGCTGCGTGGCGGTCGGAGCTCCAGCCGCCCACCGAACCTTTGGGGGAGTTGGGCTGCCCGAACATTGCAGGGGGTGAAGGAGCCTTCGAGCTCGAGCAAGCTGGCGAGGCACTGCGCGATGGCGGAGTTCTGGGCTGTCGCGTAAGCAGCCGTATCAGCCGTCAAGTGCACAGTATGCGCAGCAGGTACTTATAGCTCGGTCGGGGGGCTGCGCAAGTCTGGAGCAGCAACCACGCAGCTTGCTGGAGATGCTGGGCAACGAAGGCGTCGTGGCCGAGAAGAGATCCCAGCACGGTGAGGCCCTGGCGCTCGGGCGAGAGGGACCGAGCGACTGCAGGCGGTTCCTCCCCAGCTGCGTTCCATATGCGACTTTTGCCTTCGTGGAGACGGATTCGTGCACGTCGTATAGGGCACGAATCCTGTCAGGCAGGGCGACAATGTACACGTCATCGAGGAAGGCGAATACAGCCTCACCATCGCGAAGCTGACCCTGCAAGTCGCATAGCCCGTCATGTTGCGCCAATGCGTAAACGGTGGGCATCAGGGGGCCGCCTTGTTCACCTCATGCGGGCACCCGTCGCAGGTGAGAAGTCCGGAGTGCTGCACGTCCACTTTCAGGCCCGCTCCTCAGACAACACCTAGACCTAGACCACCAACGCGCTGCAAACACGCTCGCACGCACCAAACGAAAGAACCGCCAAGCTCCCTTACCCCACCGAAACACAAGAAACACAAGCAAAAGCCTCGGCCGCATGCTTGCCTCACCCGCAGCTCTTCCTCCAGTGCTTCCACCAGTTCAAACCCTTCTCGGAGCTGCACGCGCTGAACCCGGAGCACCAGATGGACCTCTTCCAGAAATACTGCACCTACACCGCTCACGTCAGCCGCACCGTCTGCAGCCCGGCGCCTTGCTGTTGCCACCCCGTCACATGTTCCACAACAACCCACTGCACAGAAACTCAGCCCGGTGAGGCGCCGCCAGGCATCGCCGACCTTGGAGGTGGCGCCGTTGAGCCTGTTTGGGTTGGTGACTGGTCCCTCCTCACCGAAAACCACGGCCTCACCATGCTGGGATCCCCTTTCGGCAACGATGACTTCGCCGCCCGTCAATACACAGGAGACAAATGGGGACAACACCCGACGGCCATTTTGGCTTGTAAATGCAAGCAATATGTAAATCAACCTACAAACGGGCGACGCGGCCCAAGAACCTCCCGCACCACGCCCGGCGCGGGTACTACAAGTCCCAGTGCGCCTCATGTGAGTCCCAGGGTGGGTATCCGCAGCTGGCACCTCCGGGGGACCGAGTCAATTGACCATCGTGGCATCGATCGCGAGCTGCTCGCCGTGCTGCAAAGACAGGCTGTTCGCGATGACCTCAGTGCGACATGAATCGTTTATGAAAGGGATATACCCATCTTCATGTCTGTGAATCGAACGTTCCGTGCTACCTGTGCTCCGGCCCTGCGACAAACGCGAGCAACAGCATCTCCCCCCAGAGTGGAGTGGGAAAGCCTGCAACTGAGCACGTGCTGCGAAAGCCAGTAGCATACCGGCATGCGGAGCATTCAGCTGCCACAAAGAATAGAATTTGCATTCTGGAGCGCGAAGCTTGTACGGTCCCAGGAGGACATCTACGTCGATACACAACGTGCCTCGCGACTCGAGCGTGGAGCAGCCCTGAGGAGGTCACGCACGCCGCCACACCCTGCGGGAATTGTTCGCCTGTGAGTGTCCACATGTTGAGGACAGCGAGATCGGCAGAGTGCGAAGCGCAGACCCAACTGTAGGCTTCGAGCCGGTTGACGGGAGTGCACGCAGCTCTGGGTCGGGGAAAGTGCGGGGAACATCGCATGGCGCGACGGCATGGACGATGCGCCAGCGATGCAGGTGGGAGCTGCAACACCACGGCGGGCGCAAACGACAAGGACGTTTATGCTGTGGTCAACGGTCCATCAGTGTCAACCCACTGTGCGAAGGTCACAGAAGGTCTACTGGATTGAGTGCTCCGACAGGCGAGAACGGACTTGGCACCTCACTCACCGAGTCGGTAGGGCTATGCAGGGCTAGTGCCAACATGTCGCCAACCAGCACGCCAAGCCTCTTCGATGGAAGGGCTGAGACGGGAAGCGAACGATAAACACGGCGGCGTCAAGCTCTGACTCGCCCTGGCCATCACCAAGCTACCCCACATGCCCGCACGGTGCATCACACCGCAAAACGCATTGATCCAGCGAGTGCTCAAACTGTAGAGAAAACTCTAGCACTCATTTGGAATGCTCGCAGTGCCAGGTTTTACAAGCCGCAGCAACGGAACACCCCGGAATGACAGCCAGAGTCTATGTGGCACGTGGGACAGCATGGAGCAGCAGTGCTCGCTAAGCGGGACCGACGGCATCGTCCTTGCCGAAAAAGGAGTCCTTGAGTTGCGAGCACCGAAGTCTCGCTCTATCCAGATCCGGATGCTCTCAGTTCATGTGCATCTTGGGCATACGGTGCAGGAGTCATACGTAGTAAGCATCAAACAAGAAGTCTCCTTGCCTATGCAAAAGAATCCTAAGAAGTCTTTCGATTTTCAGGGCAAGCCATGATATTACACGTGCTTGCTGAAGGCATGGGATTCTGCCCTCGTGGTGAAACGAGCTGGACAACAAGCGACAGTAGCCTTGGGCAGTTGAAACTGCCTCACATCATGGCTTCTCGCAAAAAGAGGAACATCAGCAATCCACTGACCTCAGAGCCACAGGGCAGTTCAGTGTGATGCTTTGCGACACATGCCCCCAAGGGCCGCACCATGGCTCTCTCTGACGAAGCTACAGCGCAAGAAGGCCGGCAACCTGGCAAGGTTTGTTCCACGATTGACGGCGGGTATTCTGCAGGTACTCTGCAGGTGCTAATGCATGCAACTCGGACTCACCTTCGAAAGCGCTTTGGGGATTCTGAGATCGGGGCGTTCAGCACACGAGCATGGGGAGCCGCTCACAAGCTGCACGGAAGGGCCGAAGGTCTGAGGCGATGGGGCAAACGTCCCCTTGTGAGCACAAAATCCGCATAGCATACTGGCTGGGTGCTTTATGAAACGTCTGAGGCGAGGGCACCGTTGAGCTCTAAATGGCCAACAAGAGATACCTGTCGATTGGGCTGTAAGGAGAAGCCTTTTCCGAGAACTGACGAAAGCAACTTCAACTGAATGCTGCATGCTGCGCAAGATCCTGTCCGGCCTGGAGTGTGGAACCCGGACACATCACCGCACCCAAACCGTCATTGGCAATCTCGTGCATGATAACCTATGCAAAAGCCAAGACCAGAGTCCATGGACATCAAAGAGGGAATTACAGGAACGACAGACTCTTCCATCGACTTCGAAGCTCGCGGGGCAGCACCTCCCCAGCGCAGTTGAATGACAACGCTGTTGGCGCCTGTTCGGCGGCATCACAGGCCAGCGACACCTTCAGGACGATTTGGGCCCAATTTGGCGGCAAAGCAGCGCCATGGAATTTGGCTCGACAGTATACACAACCGCAGCTACAGCACGACTTCCTCTTCAGACTCGCGGCCTGCATGCCAGCACCAGGTGCGAGACGTCCGACCTGGCATTCTGCAGGCCACTTCACAAGACACTCTGGGTTCACGTACTCTCCGCATCGGCGTAAGGGTCCGACAATGCTGCGCTTCTTTCCGGAAACTACAATCCTAATTTGTGCGGCGCAGAACCACTGACCCTCACGGAGCAGGCTGCTTCACACAACCTTTGCACCCAGGATCCCAGCTCCGCAAGGCACTCTGAGAAGCCTCTGGCAAAGTGAAAGTGCTGAAGGCGGAAGGACCAGGGGAAGCAAGTGCCATCGCCTTCGTTGCTAAATCTCAGGACGCCGTGATCTGCATTGACCTTGCCAGACTTTAGTGTCCCCGTGTGCCCAATCTGCCCGGAAACTCTCAACAGTGTCGGCATCGCTGGGCTTCCAGGCAGGCGCTGCAGAGCCTCTACTGCAATGCAGCGGCACGGCCGCAGGCTTTCAGCTTTCAAAACGCTTCAATAGAAATAGCAGCCGTCAGCGGCGGTGTGCTTACACAGAGTCCTCTGCCTGTGGCTGTCATGGCCGCGAATTACGACACGACGGCGCTAAAGGGTGCTAAAGGTCAGGTCTACATCGCGCTGGCCTCCCCGGTAGGCTACCAGCACGAAATTCTGCAGGTTGCCCGGGGCGGCCTTCGAGTGACCAAGATACGCTTCCTGGGAAAGTGCCCATCATTGCCCTCGAAGTTCTCAAGTTTAGATCCCAGCTGTCAATCCAAAGATGTTGGAGCCAGTCTCTTGGAGAGGAGCCTCAGCGCAGGGATTTTAAGCTAATTTGGTCGTATCCGATCATGCTCAACTTCCAAGGCTGCAGCTCTTTGTGCACCGAGCAGTGAGGACGAGGATGTTGAACAGTTCTGCCAGCAGTACCCGAATTCGAAACACGAATGTCTGTCCCAAATGAACACGAGCACCGCACTGTCAGTTCAAAGCTCAAAGAGTAACACGACATCCACAAAACCAATCACCCCACTGCATTCTGGAGTCTAGGCGGATACGATATCGGAGATGCTTGTGTCAAGGTTCAGAAAAAGCCTCTCCGGCCACCGAAGCATCGACCTGTCATTTCTGGGCCAGTCCATGCGGTGCACGCTCATGAGGTCGTCTCAAGCTTAGCCAGCGGCATAGACGAAGCTCGCACCACCAGCATTCTCGCTTGAGATTTCTGAGTGAGCGCATGCAGGGCTGCCGCCAAATTCCCACGGATGGCGTCTTTTTCGGGGTGGGCACGTGCGTAGCCGACGTCCTTGAAGGAGAGCGGCCTCAGTGCAGCGCTCCTCTGACTCCCGCGGAGCGAAGACTTTTGCAGAGAGTGTTTCGGGGAGATCTTTTCTTCGGGCGGAGGCATGAGGAGCTCCCTTATCACCAGCCTCATCAGTCTCAGCATCGCAGTAGCCTCAACATCAGCATCCTCATCACCCTTGTCATGGCCGTCATGAGCATCGGCATCGGCATCATCGAGCGAGCGCGCGCAAGAGAGAGAGGGAGAGAGAGCGACACGGAGCAAGGAGAATGCTATTCGTAGTCGGGTCCGTCCGAAATCTACGAGGTGGATGCGATTTCTGCTTGACATGTCGCGGATCCGTTGTAGCTGTCGTGCGGATGCACCGACTTGAAGGAACTGCATCCACCCGATGATGCATGGCAACATGCCCTTGGTAGCACAAACCTTTGACACGTGTCGCTGCGAGCACAAATGGCCTCAGCTTCACTGCGCGACGGCTGAGAAATGAGACACCGAAAGGCAGCAGGACTTGGGCTGGAACACAAAGTGTTCTCTACAAAGGAGCAAGAGCGAGGACAAGGAGGAGAACCGCGAAACTAACTAGCACATCAGCAGGTCAAGCACAGGAAGGTTCAGTCATGTTCAGCCCCAGTGCAGTTGTTTGGAGTCCGTGTCGACAGGGGGGGGGGGTGGGGGGGGTTGTTGTTCGGGGAACAACCACGCTTTCGGCGGGGAAGGGGTGGGGGAGGGGGGGGAACAACAAATGGGGGGGGGTTGTTCTCTCAACGTTTTTTGTCGCCCCGATCCAGGCGATGTTGGAGATGGGGCCACAGTAACTGCTTCGAGTGCAGGCTCAGACCCTAGAACTCTCGCTGGGTACTTGATGCACATGGCAGTGCTCTCCGTTGCTCTGCACGGTTACGGCCCTGGCCCCACCGAGGACTGCAGCGAGCTCAGCCCGTAGTGGAAGCAGATTGAAACGTTCTCAGGCAATGCAGGCTCATCATTGCGGCAGACAAAGGATGCTCAGAGTTGCACTCAGTCGCGAACATCTGGGTAGTGGTGATAAAAGGCTAGATCGTAGGCGCAAACCTCTGGCAGGCTGGCCGCAGCTCCACAGTCCACAGCGCCACAGACACGTGCCTTCGTGCCCTGTATGATCAAACACAGCCAGACCTCAGCGCAAACTCAGGACACGGCCCGAGGAAAAGCAAACGCAAACACTCCGCCGCCGCCGCCGCCGGCTTTCGCTTCGCATCGCCTGAGCCATCTGAGCCTCGCGCTGGCACTTGCAGCAGTCGCATGCCTGGCACATTGGTCCCAGTCTGAAAAGGGACCGGCAGAGCCGGTTGCTGGCCTTCCCGGGCGCCTGGCTCCCACTGCAGGCTTCATGGGACACGACCAGCACCGACTTTGTAATAAGTCGTGTCGTCTCAGGGCTCTGTCTAGCTAGCCGTGGCTCCGTCTACATTGTTCTGTGTAGGCTCGTGCATAATCTTGAGCCACTGTGCAACTTGCGACCATCCTGCAATACCTTTGATCTCGCCACCCTGCCAGTCGTTCGGAGGCTTCAGGATGGTGAGTTTGAGCGGCACCACGGGCAACACGCACGCATCCTTTTCTGCGTTTGCCCCTTCAGCCATTTTTTGAGCAAAGTTGGGCGGAAACCTGCGAATCTCAACGGCAGCGCACGAGGCATAATCGACGTGCCCCCTGTCAGATGCGAATGCGCTATTAGGTTGCAGACCATCCTTCCATTGGTCCAGTGCCAGGCTGCTCCTCGTCTCCAGGCTGCTTGCGAACGAAAAGATACCGCCTTGCACTTGGCACCCCGCACGTCGACAGAAGGCCCATTCTGATTCCTTCCAAACCAATATTGGTGGGCGGCCAGCTTTCGCAAGGAAGGGACCAATGCGCAGATGCTGCTTGGCGGACGTCTACATAAATGTTGAAATGCAAACAATGAATCATTTGAAGGTGCGATCAAAACAGTCAGCATGAAAATCGGGTCAGATCTTCAACGGAAAGCCGTCAGGTCTCCCTGACTGAACATCACGGAATGAAACTCAAGCGGCACACCCACAATCCTTTGCGATGCTTGGCGCTCACACACACACACACACACTTGCAAACTCCATGGTGGGAGTAGTTAGCAGTTAGCACATGTTTACATCTTCATTCCAAGCTGCAATGCTGTAGTGCACTGTACAATCAGTGTACAGCGAGGATCCACTCGGGGTTCTTGGCTTAGCCCCTTGCCATGTTCACTTGCAGGTACAAGAGGATGATCAGTCCTCTCTTCCCTTCGTTGGACACAGTCCCAGTGACATGCTGTGTCCCCCTGCTTTTTGTTCCCTTTGTTAGCAGGGTGTCACACACACACACACACACACACACATAAGCAGCCCTCTTGTCAATCCGCCGAGGCCACA